ATGCATCGATAGCAGCAACAGCTTTTCCAGGTTCTGCAGTCATCTGAACAAAATTATAGACATTCAGCACATTCCATTAAAAAAAAGCAAAACAAAACAAAAAGAAACAAAGAAAAGAATAATATCCAGGAAACAGCAAAGTTCTGTTGCTGTTGTGGTACCTGGCACCATTTTTTTTATTAGCATCTTAATCATCATCTGGAAAGAGAACATTCTAGAATAATATCATTAAATGTAGCTCTGATAAAGCACGGTCCCTACTATGTATCATATAACAGGTATAAGATATTTTACATTCATAGAGGTATGATACAGTACTGTCCTACATCAATAATACTAGATTCAGCTTTGGTTTGAAATTTACCTTGCCTGCAAATAAGATTGCTACCCCTGTTTTTTTCTGGGTTCCTGTCACATGGAGAATTGTTTTCTATCCTTTCACTTTCAGTCTATGGGCTTCTTTTTGCACTAGGTGTGTCTCTTGTATACAACATATTATTGGATTTTGCTTCTTATTCCATTTTGCCAGTCTGTTTCTCTTGATTGGTGAGTTGAGGCCATTGACATTGCTGGTTATAACTGATACGTACTGACTTATTATTGACATGTTTTTGGCCTTTCGTTGACTCTTTACTTTTTCACCTTCTTTTAATTTCTTGCCTTGCCTATTTGATTTGCTCTGTTGGGCCTCATGGTGTTGTTGCCGTCGTTGTCTTTTTCTAGGATCTTGTTTAGAAGTGCTTGTAGTGCTGGTTTGGTATTCATGTAGTTTCTCAGGTGTTCTTTGTCATGGAAGTGTCTTATTGCCCCATCCATTTTGAAAGAGAGTTTTGCAGGATACATCAGTCTAGGTTGAAATCACAGCAGACTGTTCAACACAAACCCTTAGGGCAAGGAGAGCCTGGAATGAGATATTTCAAGTACTAAAAGAGACCTCTTTAGTTTTAGTGATGCACTGTAGGGATGACTTACTATAAGCCTTTGCATCTGTCTTAAGTTCAATCATGCTTGCTTATTTGGGAGGGAGGCTGCAGTATATTTGGCCTTGCACTCAGTTTTCCTAGAATTGGTATACAGAGGAAATCAATTAATGGCAGCAACTATGATACATTGCAATAACAATAAAATCAGCAACAGTAATATTGTGAAAGATAAATTGGACACTGACATAACATAAGGACCAGTATTGTACTAGTCTTACCCATAAAGAGATCTGTAACTATAGTACAAACACTAAGACAAATCAAATACTGGCATACAGTGAGTATCTACTAAATGCAACAACTAAACTTTCAGTAACAATAGAACGGTATTTCTTAGCAACAGCATAAAGTTTACTATGTAAGTACTCATAAAGCTGAGTGGTTAAAATGGTAAGTGTAGAGAAAGTGAGAAACCAGAGAGAGAAAAAAGTAAAATTTGAAAAATTAATCAGTGGAAGTTGAGAAAGAGGAGAGAAAAGTGAGATAAAAGATCTTACTGAGGAGTAAAAGAAACTTAATAGTATTAGATAAAAGTAATAGAAAAGGACAAGAAAAGAAGGGGAAAAAGCCCAGAAACAAAATAAATGAAAAAAGTCAAGCAGATTGCTCCACTTGATGCCAGCACTTCCAGATCCAACAACCTCTGAAAGCCACACTCAACAGGCTTTGGGCCCATGTCCTTCTCAGTCTGAGTTCAAACTTCTCAGGGGGTCCATTATTTCTAGCCTATGCCCTCGCCAAGTCTATCTCCCATGGCTGTATCTCATTGTGGTATGGTGACACTGAAACCCTGGAAGTGGAGTTGTTCTATAGATAAATTTTGACCCTTTCCCAAATGGAGCCTAATTAAACACTCTGACTATATGACAGACATTGCACTAAATTTTTTCTCCAACCCTAGCCTGCTATGAAGGAGTCATTTTGTGAGTAAAACTCCACACTGTTTCTGTAACATACAATAACCATGTTCTTTTCTTGTGGTAAGCACTGTTGGCCAGGTCCATTATTTCTCCCTGGAGCTACAAGGTCTCCAGGGCTTACCTTCTTCTTCTCAGGGTGCTGATCTAATGCACAATCGCCTGATGCTGAGGGGAAACAAAACACAAACAGGGATGGAGTTGGTGGGAGACCATGACCAGGATGTGGAGTCCATGGGTATGGCCTTGGGAGTGGATGCTGGATGGGGAAGTTTTTATTCCCACAGGGAAAAGGGGTGAGTTGTATCTGTATGAGCCTTGGGGTAGGTTCCATTATGTGGGGCACTGAGGCCTAGAATATTCTTATGATACAAGTTTCTTATCAGATTCCTGAGTTAGAAGTATTTTCTCACATATTATAGATTATCTCTCCACTTTCTTGATCATGTCCTTTGAAGAACAATTTTGTGTGTGTGTGTGAAGTTAAATGTGTCTGTTAGTCTTTTGTTGCTGCTTGGTTAGTACCACAATGAAGAAAACTTTTCTTAACCAAAGGTCACATATAGATTTAAACATTATTTTCTTCTAAAAGTTTTATCCTTTTAGTTCCTACATTAAAACCTTCATCTGGGCTGGGGATTTAGCTCAGTGGTTCTGCCACCTGCCTTGCAAGCTCAAGGTCCCAAGTTTGATCCCCAGTACAAAAAAAAGAAAGAAAGAAAACATAGATCCATTTTGAATTAAATTTTTAATGGAAAGATTTTATGTGAATCAGAGGTTCAGTTTCTTTTCCAAGTGAATGTTCATTGTTCCGATACCATTTGATCACTTGTTGAAAACTGTTTTCCCACTTAATTTTCTTGTAACTTCTATTGATAATTAATTAGCCACAAATGTAAAGGTATATTTCTGGACCATTGATTTATACATCTGTCTTCATGCCAGAACAACACAGGCTCAATTCCTGTCATTTTACAGTAAGTTTTGGTGTTGGGAAGTAAGTTCCCTTCAACTTTGTATTGACTATAATCTCTTCCTTGCATTTCCATATCATTGTCCATTTCTGGAAAGCAAAAATAAGAGGCAGCTAGACTTTGAAGGTTTTGCATAGATGAATTGAATCTAGATATTAACTAAGAGAAGTCTTTTCTTTCTTTCTCTATTCTTTCTTTCTCTCTTTCCTTCTTTTTTCTTTCTTTCTTACTTTTTGAGATTGGGTCTCACTATGTAGTTCAGGCTGGCCTTGAACTCACTATGTGGCTGAAGGTGGCTCCGAACTCATGGTACTCCTTCTGCCTTGGCCTCCAAATGATAAGATTTACAGGCATCACCATGTCTAGCAGGGGGAAGAGTTTATAAATTAATAATGTTAGTTATTTTTCTGATGGTATCAACTCTGTCATTGTTAATCTGTGTTATGTTTTAAAATCTACTTTATTAACTGTAAGGAACAGAGAAAGGGAAAATTACTAGAACCTCTGCAGTGAGTCCTAGTCTCCTGTGATCCATGACAGCACAAGGCAAATTAATTAATAAAGAAAGAAAATAAGACTTTGAGAAGAAGCTGAGCTTTGGGCCTGATCAATGCTGCTCTGAACAACAAAGACAAAAGACCTGGAGCTTGCCACACCTTAATTCAGTACCTCAGGTGTAACAGATGACTCAGAGGGCAGTCATAAACCTAGAACAATAAGAAATTTATGTTGATGATGTTCCTAGTTCAGTGAGGAATTTATTTGTCCTCCCTAAGATGTCTTCAGCTGATGTAATCCTGCTCTGGAGCATCACAGCATCACAGGACCATTCAGGTTTTAGCAAGTTGTGGAGGCAAAATGGAGTTAGGTCTCAACATGCCACAGCTGGACCATAAGCAGAAAAACTAGGCCTAATCATAATTTCATTGCAAGATGATTTTTTCCCCAAAATTATGCAGAATTGCTCCTGACAATTAACCTTTTCAATTGGTGTATGTAGACCAATTCAATTTAATGTGATTATGTAATTTTTTTTCCTTTCTATTGAGGTTATTGGTACAATCTAGGTATACAGTACAGTTACATTCATCACTGGGATTCTGTACCTTTACATAATAGGTCTTGATTCTCATTTTTCCCCTTGTCCCTGCCCTCCCTTCACACCCTCCTACCCTCCCCATTTACAAACACTTTATTTCCATTTTTTCAGTTTCTCATATTTTGTTCCTCTCCCTTATTACCCTTCCCCCACCCTTCCCACTTTCCTTACACCTTTAGCCCTTTACTTCCTATCTCACATTATTAATTGTCTCATTAGGATCCTGTGTACTATTATAGTTTTTCACACCAAAGAAACTATTCGGTATTTCAGTTAAAGAAATCTCTGTATGAACATTAAAAATAGGGAATCCTAAAATAAAACTAAAAAGGAAAGTAAAAGAGAAAAGGCAATGATGTAAAATCAAAATAATCCTTAATTCTGGAGATGAAAATGGTCCCTGAACATATTTAAATTGCTTCCCACTCTTATAGTCTTATCTTATTCATTTTTTCATTATTTAGAGAATACTTTATTAGTTTCTGTAATCAAGCCCACGTAGATATGACCTTACATATTTAGTACGATGTGTTACCCCTGTACACATGGAAAAAAAATAAAAATAAAAATAAATTAACATTTGTAGCCCAATATGGTTGTCCATTTCTGTACAATGCCAAGTCAGCACAGTAAATTGGGATGACTTTTTCCAAAGTTGGCAGCAC